GGAAACAAATCCGTTATTCAGGAAGTTTCTTAAATAATTCACATCGAGTGTTATGTATGTGTATACGAATGCTCTTCTATTACTAATGAACATCCCAGTCACGTTTTTGATAATAGATGCAGCGGATATGGAAGCTACGCGGGTTCCATATTATCTATGTATAAAATATTTAAGAAAATAATATACAGTTGATTCGGTTTATACTTTGTAATTTACCCGGTTCTTGAACTTGAAAAATGAGATATTTTTATCAATCCAAAGTTAAAACTCCATATGCTGCATGCTGTCTGTCTGTTAGAAGATTTCTCTCCATACGTCAGAAGCACCAAAACCAAAACAAAGATAAACACGACAAAAATATGCGCCTCGTCGGTATAAAAATAATTTACAGTTCCACCGCAAAGATATAAAATCATGAATTCTTTCGACATAATAAAGAATAAGTTACTCACACACAGGCACACACAAACGAATATAATAATAGATCCAGATTTTGGCCTTATAGTAATTAACTAATAGAATTACAACCAGTTTTAGTGTTGTCCACCAATGAGGTATAATGTTTTTTTTATTAATTTTTTAATAATATGTTTTTCCATGGGCGACATCTATACACAAATAGTGTCCATAGACGACATTCGTAGCGAAAGGGTTAATTATTTAAGTTAAGTATGTGTTAAAAATTTAGTATAGAGTCTGTTAAATTTATTTTCATTTAATTTACAAACTTTCTTTTGGAAGACATTCCATTAATTACATGACTTATTATTTTATTAATTTTATAATGGATATTAAAATAAAACCCAATGATTTGCTTTTAGTTGGGGTACTATATATTTTATTTTAAATTTCTCTTAAAATTCTGTCCGTCAGCTGCACAAATACTCTGAACCTATTTTTTCTACTTGGCAGCAATAAAATAATTTTACAGCTTCTTGGTAAGTTTGTAAGACTAAAACCTCAAACTGTACATTATCATAGACCAGGAAAAAAATTCAAATAGGCACAAATTATATACACATTCAATGGTTCAAAAAATCTATCATCAAAAGTTTGATGTAACCTAATTAGCAATATTAAGTATATCTGGTACTGCGGAAAAAGAGTACCAGTTTTCAGACACCAAATAAATACTTTCAAGATTTTTTCCAAATTCCAAGATTTTAAGACCACCAACGATGTTTCACATAAAAAAAATTAATTACCGACAATAACATTAATTAGCTTTTTATTAAAATAATTGTGTTTGCACGTGCTTCCGCAATTTCACAGCCCACCAACAAACAGTTCATGTGCTTTCTGATCTAACTCAAAACATTTCCTTGTCGACGAACTCGTAAAATATCTATATAAAAGGTACACTGAAGGCTAAAATCATCTGGTTTAAGATATTTCAAGTCGTGTTATATAATGTAGTCCATTAATAAGACTCATGTACATGTGTTGTTTGTTCGATATATTTGATGCATAAAATATATGTTGATTGCTATGAATATTGTGAGGCCTTTTGATCAAACGTTGCTCAAAGACATCAGAAAACAGTGAAAATCACTCATGGGAAAGATTTAGGCTATTGGATAAAAGATTGAATTTTAGAAGCACTACAATCAAATGGTCTTACCAGGAAACTTGCTAATGGCATAGCCAACACCTGATCTGTTTTGTTATTGGCTTCGCAAACTAGTTTAGTTTAGGAAAATTACTGTTTTTCTTATTCTTGAAGCGCCATTTTTTCAGTCTACATCAATTGATTCGAATCCTTATCGATTTTTATATACAGTGCTCCACCAAGATTTGACCTGAGTACTTCTACATCAGTCAGTTTGGCAGATGTCATGTTTTGCCTTATATAATATTTTAGCTTTCCTTACTTTGTGAAACAATAAAGGAATCAGTATAATTTCTTGTCTCAAAAGAATGTCTTTTATCCGAATGATTCAGAACTTTTCTGTCTATCCACACTGGTATATATCCCTCTAGACTAGAGAAAAGTTTTTTGGTCGCTTTTATACGCAACATTTGAAATCCCTCTTATCAAACAGACTGACGTCGTATATCGTACACTATTGACAAAAACCCTCAGAGGCTTTTCGGAAAGAAGACGTTTCTAGACGGAGGATTTCTTGCGTCTCAAATTACTTGTTCTATTCTCTGGCTTTCATCGAAGGATCCATTGTAGAAATATATATATATATATATATATATATATATATATAAACTATTTTATGACAATACTTTTTGATGTAAATAAAAATCAATACGTATTACTTTTGTTCCTGGAGATATAGTAGATTTCACGATGAGCTTATAAATCTTTGTCTACCTTGTCGTAAGAGTAGATACATTTTATGTAATCTATTAAATAAATATCTTATTTTATAAATTCTAGTAAGAAAATTCTACAAGTTGGGATTTTTAATACCCATAATTTTATTTTCCCAATGTCAATAAAGTGACTTGTCAGACCAGCGTATAAAATTTACCAATTTTATTGTAAAACCACGTTTTCTCCAGTTTCACGCAAATGATGAAAACAAAATCAATAATCTTGTGTGCATTCATTCGTAATAAACCGTGTCTTATTCTCAGCACGTTTTTTGTTCTTTTATAAGACTTCGAATCCTATATTGAAATCTCTTAAATCAAGACAAGGCTCCTTATTGTACAAATCCCTCTTGGAATGTTCTTGGTATTTTTCTGAATCGTGGCATAATTCTATAAGATTGTGGAAAATCAAGTAAATACGGTAAAACGGCGATAATTTACATATACTTTTTAGATACATATACTTTCCCAATTATTTTTTATTTTTAATCCGTGCTTCCGCATTTTGTAATCAAAGGAACATCCATGCGTTGATAAAATAAGCAAGATCTGTTTATTGAAGTTCTGTCACAGAATAAATAAATCCCAAGACATTAAACATGTTCTCACGAAATTGTTCATGTTATTCTTATAAATAAACCAATTTTGTTTATATGAAATGCGTAATGGGTGTTTAAATTAGACGCTGGTGACACGTACCTCTCATGCTACTTTCTCCTAATTAAACATGACCTCAAATACTGTATTTTTTTTTAAAGTTTATTGATTAATTTATATGGATATTTAAACTATTGCTATGGGTAAATTTTTATTTACGATCTTCAAAATCTGTATCCTATATCCAAATAAATACAGCTTTCATATAAAGCATATGCTCTACAAAAACGCGTTTTGGCTTTGTTGACTTTCGTCTGGATATCGGAAAATATATTTATATTCGAAAATTTCAGAAGCATAAGATATTCGAGGTATATTTACATTATGTATGTTGTTTAGATAAGAAATTGAACAAGCGCAAGATGTAAAAAGTTGTTACATCACATTAAAAGCTCGGTATAATCTGTAAAGTTGTTTTAGCTTGCTTTTGGAATAATTTCATGGATTTAAGTTTAAGCTTTTAAAATATATAGTCTAAAATTTTAACCTAAGATTGTTGAATAAACCGAGTCGTTGGTTCTTTTTTTTTTGAATAGATGCATTATTGTTAAATTGTAACAAAAAATGTTCGTTATTAAATTCGTTGATAAATATTTTATGTAACATATTTGAGCATAATTTCATACTAAATATCCATCACAAGATAACAGAAGTTCATGGATAGTGTCCTGCCTGAAACCGGTGCGGTCATCTGCGTTTTAACCCGACCTCCGCGTCGTTTCGGGTTGGATGTCAATCTGGCCTGGCGTACCTACTTCACGTGGGACACAAAAATTTAAATTTATCTAGCACTCAAATAATTTTATTTTTTAAGACTATAAACTTCGACATTCTGACTTTGCAGATTCATCTTTCCCTTACTTACTTTTCATTACACGACTCTCTATTATCATAAGTTTGGCAAAATTCTACAGGACCACGCCCTGTGCGTTTAATTAGTAACTCCATATAATTGCATAACTTCCCAACTTTATTACTTGAAAATAAGTACAGTCTGGCAGTTCAAAATACAGTAAAATCATCGACGCCATCAGTCAAAAGCGAGTCGAGAACAAAAAAGAACATTTTTAATTGTGCCTTTGTCATCCAGAGAGTTCTTTCACATGTACCGACCATTATTAATGCATATTGCCGCAGGCAGTCTACACGTCGCCGACTGGAATTATATTATATCTGGCGTTCGTCTTCCATGAACGATATTAAACATTTTGACAAGTACATGGAGCAGACAACGAGCAATTTAAATGATGAATTCTATATGCCTCGATGCTCCTGAGAAGAAATATGATATAATGCACTCGTTTCCTTTGGAACGCTAGTTTTGTCGTTATGGTAATAAGATTTTAATCACATTAGTCCACAAAAATCTTCATGATAGTACAAAATAGAGAATACATCTAATTTTCAAATTTGGAAACTAAGTGGACATTGTAAGGCTAGTATGTTATTTCATAGAAAGCATCAGAGCATTATCCATTATGTAATCTATAAAACAGATGCATTTTATAAAAATGCTTGCGTCGTATGAAATTTTGAATGTGTGAGTATTTTATGAGATAACCAGATGTAATGCATAAGAATAGAAGTCGGAGATATATCAAGTTATGACTCCTATCCAGCAATTATCAAACGAATGAATGCTAACAGACACAGGATGTGAAATGTAGATAAATTTCCTAGGCAAGCGAAATATGGTTCTTGACAAATATTGAATAAATTTAATAATAATAATTTTAATTTTGTGAAGAAGACTCAATTTCATTAGATATGAAGGAAACTTACTGTATATTGGTCATTGGATCACACTGATCTTATTATTATCAATGTTAGAGCAAAGTTAAAAACCAAATACTTTTTTCTGATATAATTGTAACGAAATAATTCAAAAGTTATTAAATAGATCAATTTTTGACATCAATACATCATCATATTGCAACTTATTTCACTACTGAGCTTTAGGTTCAGTTGCATTTATAGTACAAAAACTATTATTAATTATCTTATTTATCTATTTCCAGAATGTCGACCACAAGATGAAATTCCGCAGCAAGAAAGGACAATTGCCTTTCGTCGAATTGAATGGTGAAGAATTGCTGACAGTGCCATCATCATGAAGGAGTTGTCCAAACGCTACGGAAAGGATCTGGATGCTGCTTTGACACCAGAACAACGCAATGTCTCCCATGCTATGGTAAATAAAATATATAATTTAAGTGAATTATGTAATAATTGTCGTTTTTATTTATTTTTATCCTAATTTATTAACAATCTCTGTTGATAGAGCATTGCTGGTCAAGAAATTTCATAACAAAAAGATCCAATATACAAAATTTCTTGCTTCATAAACCAGCCATAAATTATTTCATACTTAGATGAATACATTTTATATGCTCAATAATTTGTTCTGAAGCGAATTTAAATTTCTTATTTGTATAAAAAACAACATTTTTCATAATTATTCAGAAGTAAAATTTAACTCTGGCGCAATTTTATCTCGTGTTCCGCAGAAAGCCGGTACGGTTATCAGTCACTCAACCCTGATCGAGGCGTCGTTTTAGGTTGAGCGTCGAAATGGCGTACCGGTTTTAAGTGGACGCCATTATAGCGCCATTTTTCTTGATAAAAATTTATTTTAATTTTGTTAAAACATAAAATCAATATGAATAGTACAATAATTAATTTGCATAATAAAACATTACATTATTCACATTTTTCTAAGTTTCATCTTTAATCTTTAACACCAATTTAGAGACAACTACTACCCTCAATCATTATCCAAAATGTTGTTTATTTTATTTATCATATGATTTGATTTAATGCCTAATAGCTTTTGAAGAAACCCTTCAATATCTTCAACAATGGGTGTAGTTGTCTCAAATGTGCCGTTTCATGTTAACTCTGATACTAAAAATCAGTCGAGCGTCTAAATAAATACAGTAGGTTGTTGTTGTTTGGGTCGAGGGATTTTTACACCCTTGAGTATATTTTATGGGATTTTTGGTGACACTGACATGAAATCTGTGATATATCCATGACGCATAAGGAAATCATACATTCTTAATTTGATCGAAGACAAGAACAGTAATTCTATTAATAAAGATGGAGGAGAATTTGAATTAAATGATGTGTAATATAGTAATCAATATTTTTTAATTAATTTAACGAATTAACGAATGGACATTTCTACTTTACATTATATCCATAGATAAACAAGTATAAATTTTGATTATATCAAAAACTAATTCTTCATCTGAAGAACATGAAAATTCTACTTTATATTATATCCATAGATAAACAAGTATAAATTTCGACTATATCAAAGAAGTGATTCTTCATCTAAAGAACATGAAATGATTTTCACTCCTGTTTTATTTATTACAATCAGTACTTCGCTATCACATCTTTAGACCTAAAAATATATGTAAGTCAAGGGTCTTTTATCATTTAATTTTGTTTTTTTTTCAGGTATCCATGATTGAAAACCACTTGGTATGGATCGTTTACTGGTGGCGTACAAAGTACCCAGAAAGTGTCATCAAGGGATACAAAGTCAATTTGCAACATGCTCTTGGAACTCGTATTCCAAATGGAATCCTCAACTTCTTCTTCAAATTTGCTTTTGGACGCAAGGTCAGTTGAATTTTTTAATTATTGATATTATTATTATATTCACCTAATTTGAAATAGCCATATTTAAGCAGTAACTCTAATGGACCATAATTTATCTCTTACATTAGAACGGATCTTTCAATGGTAACGATTTATAAAAAGTTTTCGACAGTGGCTGCTTCCTTTGCGTAATCTGGCTTATCATATTTCAATGTCATCTTTAAAAAACCGCTCATTTATCTTTTTGCTTATTCTGCTGGCTGTCCATGTATTATTGTCTACGGAATTTTTGCCAGCAGGCTTTGATAAAATTGTCATAACATTTCACGTCGATGGAATTTCGTTTGTAAATAAAGTAATTGCATTCGGAGAAATTTTTAGGAACGGAAGACGAAATGGTAATGGAATTTTCATTAATGCGAGATTATTTCCTTATAGTATTTTTATTTAAGTTGTGTTTTTCTTCCATTATGAGTTTAGTCTATAATTTATCATCGGTTAACGATTTGTTTTGCAAAACTATGCTTTCCTGGCATGATGTACCATCCTACCATCCTTCCCTTCTCTTCGAATTGTCATTTTGAAAGCTTGTCCATATAATACAATACGAAGTCCCACATTTCGCGAATTTCGTAAGAAGTCATTCATCTCTTGGTTAGAAAGCAAAACATCGCGAATAGGTGGTTTCCATATTATCTATCTGGTGGGTAGGGTCATGCAGCACTCCTGGCGAATACTAATTATAAATTTTTATCTACACGATTTTATAATATTGCTTTATGTTTACCGCTAAAAATAGTAAAGGAGTTAGTGACCAAATTTACTCAAAATACAAGATTTTTCTTCAGTATTATGCACCAGCAAATGCATCTCGCCTCAGTTGTACTTGATTTGCTCTATCATTTGGTATGATGTAAAACTTTTTAATTGAAGTTTGGAGAATATTGGCAAAATTCAATAGTGAGCATTTTTCACTATATACATTAATTTTTACACCTGTTGCAAAGTCGACAACAAGTAAAACTGCAGGATTAAAAAAATAACTTTAAAAATACAAGAACTTTCCACCATTCTCAGGCACTTCTTAATTTTAATTTGAATAATTACTACTATAGAAAAATATTATAGTTGTAAATTAATACAAAAAAAGAATTATTGTTGTTGAAGAACAGGTAACTTGAAAAAATTAAAATATATTACTCTCAATTTAGATTAATTTCTAAACATAACAAATCGCATTCAATTAACTATACTAGGCTAAATTAGTATAAAATTAAATTAACTTCCAAACTACTATTAATTAAAATATAAATAACTGAAAGATAGCAATATATAAGAGGATCAATTTAATTTGTAACCCACTATTATTATTCTATCCTGGCTTTATTTTCGAATCTGATTTCCTACATAATTTGATATAATTTATGGTTCTTGAAGTCGAGGTCAATTGTATGCCAATATCTTCCAATTACTTAATTTACTATACATTTCATTCACGACATTAGAAATACATTCTATGAAACGTGATGATTTTTAAGATTATATCTCAATACGTTCTAAATTAATCCATGTAAAATATCTCTCAAGAAATGTTTCAGAAACCTACTTTGGGTAAACTAAATACGAGATATAGAATTTAGTAATGGGAATAATATTTTTTTATTAGAATAAATAAACAAATTGATTCTAGATTTTAAACATAAATGGTTCTTTAACTCTCTTATATATTTTTGATTATTAATATTTGTAATGCGAAATTTTTACATTTTTTTATATGAAACCGAAAGGAAAATTGTGTTAAAATTATTAAGGTGTGATCACTAAATTAACATTTTCAACTGCAATTTTAATTATTTTAAAAATATTTTTCTTTAAAAAAAATATAATAATCTCTTTCTCTTAGTTAATTTTCAAATAAATTTTAATCGACCATAATTAATTGAGATTACTTAGTAGCTGTAATTAGTGTAAATTTAAATTAATTTAGTTACTGAATCATAGTATTATGATTTTTGAAACATCTTATTTAATAATTTTAAAATTTAACAACACTCATATTAAAGTAATAAAAAATAATTATATATATGTAATTACTTTTATATACTTTTCGTGCACATATTTATGTTTTGTCATACAATATGATAATTAATATCTCATTGTTTTCGAAATTCTTCAACAAATCATTTCTTGGAAAACATTGATACTGGGATCATTCAACTTTTGCACATAAGACGAAGATTACTGATTTTGCAATTGCGTTGTAAATTATGTTTGCTTGAAAATCAATTGTTGACTTTTTATAACAATAAGCAATTACTTGAACAATGTTAATATTTTTGTCAGTATGAATGAAATGTATTTTGTAGCCACATAATCAGCAAGAATCCATTTTTGTCTATCAGCACCAAATACTAATATTTATTTGATATTAAGATCTAATTTTAATTTAAATTTTGAAACTGTATTTAGCTACATATCACACTTATATTATTGTTTGCGATATTGCATGCTCGCTCCAGTCAAATTATTTAAAACATACATGTGAATTAGTTAAGTTGCCACTTGAAAAGAGTACAAAAATATCAAAAAAAGGCAGAAATGATATTCTCAAATTTGTAGTTTATTACTGATAGATCTAGATTTAAATTTTTTATTATTACCAAGTAGTCAATTAATTGTGGCAATTTCTATTTTCACATGTATGTTTTAATTTTTCCTATCAAATCTGTGTCCGTGTCTATTCTGACTGTGTTGGTGACGTGTAGTGGTTCCAGGGTGCTAAGAAAGTGAAGGCTCAAGGAATTGGTGTCCACAAACCAGATGAAATTGCTGAATTTGGCAACAACGATCTCCAAGTGCTGAGCGACATGTTGGCTGACAAGCCTTTCTTCTTCGGCGATGAACCCACCACCGTAAGTATAATTGATGTAATTTTTTTTTTTTTTTTGAGTTGATGTAATTTGGTTAATGGTTTGATTTGTGTCTATTTTAGTTGGACATTGTCGCTTTTGCCAAC